AGGCCTCCAGCCGCAGTGCCTCTCTCGGGCGCGCCGACCTCCTGAATTGCGGGCGCATCTCCTACTTCGCTGAACTCGCGCCCCCCGCTCCCGTCGTCTCCTGAGATGGCAAATGTTTGCGTGGGACTTGCGTGCTTCGGCGGATTCGATGGAGCATGTCCCCCGCTAGGGCTTTCCCGCCTCGGAATGCGCTCCATATCTGCCACTTCCTTTGCTGTCTCTCTGGGGCCCTGCCCCCGCGGCCCCGCTGGCGTGCGAAGACCGCCGGCGGGGCGCGCCGCCTCGCCCATGGGCCGCCATTCGCTGCCCGGGCGCCTCGTTCTCCATATAATGCGCACCGCGATCGAGCGCGATTCGATTTCCTGCCGCGACCATCTCCTGGGCAGAGCCTCGAGACTGTTCCTTTGCATCTGCCGCGTGCGTGGGCGTTCTCGCTCGCGCTCTTCGTTCGTTCTCCAGCCCTGTTGGCTGCGCTGTAGTGCTTGTCTGTTAGCGACGCCTCTGAGGGCGTCGCTGGGGAATGACTTCCCGCGCTCTGGTGCCCCGCTTTTTCCACTTGTGACGCAGCCGAGACTGTGGGCGCCACCGGCCCGCCAAGCATTGCAAATCGCGACGGCGTGGCTATTCCGCGGCGTGATATTGCAAGGCCGCTGGCCGCCGTCTCACCGAGCGCGCCCGCGCGCAGCGTGCCCCAGATGAGTTTTGGAACAGAAAAGCAGCATGGGCACTTGAGGCGGGCCGAGTGAAGAACAGCGAACGGACCGTGCGACGCCCGACGTCCGACGCCCAGTTCGCCCGTCGAAGGCGAGGGGGGCGGGGCAGGAGAGGCGCGAGGAAAGGCGCGCTGGAGCTCGCGGGCGCGCGCGCCGGGGCCCCGCGCGGGCAGTGCGAGGATGCGCGGGGAAGTGGGAAGGGAAAGCACGAGGCAGAGGAATAATGACGGATTGCTGAGACGGTCCTGGAGTTTCTCCGTGAGGACTGCGCTGACTTCATGACTTGCGCTGACTTCGTGACTGGCTGCGCTTCGACGTATATTTGCTGCCAATCCTTTCCCGATCGGAAGCTCCTGCGTATTCTGAATCGCCAATCGCTGCGACTGTCGCAACCAATGTGACGCGCGCCCTTTCCATATTCTTAGATTGCTCTGGCTTCATCTCTTTGCTGGTTTTCTTTCTTGCTCGGTGCTGCTGAGTCCATCCGTCTCAACCTGGTGGGTCTCAGGGTGCATCCACCCCGTGGCGTCCTGGCGTTGGTTGTTGCGAAAAAATGTTTTCCGCCCCGCCTGGTCCTCTGTGGTTTTCCAACCTTGGGCCTTGTCTCCCTGTGCTGCTCTGCTTCATGAGTTCCCTTGTCTGCGCGCGGAGCGGCGATGTACTCCTTTCTCTCGGCGCTCGTAGAATTCCAGATCGCATATGGGGGCAAATTCCCCTGTGCTCCCTCCTTCTGGCCGATTGCCGCCCTTTTCCTTTGCTTTTCCCATTGGCATTTTGTCCGTGGCACCTGTCCTCCCTTGTATCCGCCATTGCCTTTGCTGTTCTGACCTCCTCCTTTCCGGCAGTTAGCAGCAATGTGCCCGAAATAACGCCGCTCGTAACATTTGGGTCCCTTTCCTCCTTGTCCCTTGCCTTTTTTTTGACGGCGTCCACACCTTTCACCTCCTGCAGTCTCCGCATCTTGCCCCCAGTCGGTATGATTTGCTGTCGTCGTCGATTCAACCTTCCATGTTCAAGCCCTCGCGTGTATCCTACATGTTTACTTGCTCCTCATTGGCCCGCTCACCCCCCCCGATGTCCATGGCGTCATGGTTCCGGGTGTCAGCACCTAAACTTCTTTTGCGTGCCTGGTATTTTCTGGTAGAGTCTTGAAGCACTGCTGGTGCCATGCCTCGGACCAGTCGCCACCGTGCGTCACGATGGTTCTCAGCGCTGTGACTCTGAAGGACAGATTTAATGAGTGTGCAGGACCGTGCTTTCCAGGGTCTCCACCGATGCCGTCCACTATTCTAATTGGGTGGCCGCGTCGCCAATGTTCTTCGGCTTGTCGGGGCTCATGGCCCGTTTCACTTTCGCGAACAGGGTAACTCATTTTTTGTGTGTGTGTGTGTGTTGTGTGTGTGTGTTTACACACGTATACATTATATATTACACAGGAAAGACCCGACCAATGGGTACTTTGAAGAACATTTATACTATGATCTTGATATCGATTGTGAGATCGATAATGGGATCGATAATGGAATCGATAGCGAAGACGATTGTAAGGTCGATCGTGAATTCGAAAATGAAATCGACTCAATGAGATCGATAGTGAGATCGATCGCGAGATCGCTCACATGATTTCTAATGAGATCGCTTGCGAGATTGATCGCGAGATCGATTGTGTGATCGATCGTGAAACCGATCGAGGAGTCGGTAAAGAGATAGACCAAGAACCCGGGAACCCGGGAACCTCGCCGCCCTCCGAAATCGGCCCGGACCCCGGAACCGGGAACCCAAAAACCCAGAACCGGGAACCCAGGAACCCGGAAACCCAGCGTGCGACCAAAATCGGCGGGGCACTTTCGCCAAATCCTTCAACATCCGCGAGGACCCCTTCAGTGCAAGCACTGATTGGATAATCGATCCATGTATATATGTATATATATTTATATATATATATGTACATATATGTGTTTATGAACACAACTTATATATAACTGATAGCTATTGGTTTATACGATATATATATATATATATATATATATATATATACACTTGTATACGTCTGCAGTCCATCTCCCTCGCGGGGTCTCTTCAACTTTCCCCTGGGCTCCACTCTACGTAACTTGTCGTTTGGTACGTGCTGCATGTCTTCATCTAGCTTGTGTGCCATCTCTGGACTTATTTCAAGTTCTCCTTTGGACCATCTTGTGTGGCATGATTGGCTTTCGTGTATTTCGCTGTGCTTGACTTGCCGTTGGTGGTCTTGACATTGTCATCACCGCTTGCATCGTGTAGTGTCCCCTCCATCGTTCAGGTTCGTCCCCTAGGTTCTTCAACGCTTTGAAATATGGAGGATTGACCTGCGCCAATCTGTTGAATAACTTTTCGCTCCACTCACGAAACTGGTTTTGTGCGTCTGTTTGGTCTGCCAAGTTTTCGATTATGAACTGTAGTTTTGTGGCTTTTCCTTGTGCGTACAAGTTACGGCTGGCGATGCTCAGTCACAGGGAGGTGACTTCCTGAGTCATGAGTAACAGCCCATGGCTCTGCACATCCGTGACGGTTCAAACTCCTGCAGCCGTCTGTCATTTTATGAACTCCCTCATTCCCGCACTACTGCCTCTCAGGGCTATTTGCGCATAGCTGCAGTCGCCTCCGTAGTAAGCTGTTTCGCATAACTCGCTGGACCTCGCTGGTTCAAGTGGAACCACTGATTACGACGATTGGGGGCGTGTTTAACTCAAGAAACGGGTCTCCTGGATGTGCGGAGGCTGCTGCTGCTGACGCGATCGACCTCGCTCCGTTACCACGCAAATTCCCGAGGAGGCCTTGCACGAAAACGGATTCATGAGATGTGTTGCTAGGCAATGAACAAACTGTGCACTGATTTGTCACTTGCGCCAAACAGCGTCGGTAACGACATTTGTCTAGCCTATGGGTAATCATATCCTTCTCACCCCGGTCGGAAGTCTACATTTTAACACTTCCTCCTCCTCCTCGTCCTCCTCCTCCTCCTCCTCCTCGTTGTCGTCCTCCTACCCTCCTCTCCTCACCCCCCTCCTCCTCCTCCTCCTCCTCCTCCTCCTCCTCCCCTCCTCCTCCTCCTCCTCCTCCTCCTCGTCCTCCTCCTCTTCTTCCTCTCCCTTCTCCTCCTTATCCCCCCCGTCCGCCTCCCATCCTCCTCCTACTCCGCATCCTCCTCCTCATCCTTCTCCTCTTCTCCTCCTCATAGCCAGCATCGGCTCGGGAAACTTGATCGAGTCGGGATGTGCGGTCGGGAACTCTTGCTTGCCGTGTTGCCGCGGCGGACCTGGCGACACGCTATGCCTTGCGAGCGGATCGCATGTCGCTCCGCTCCGCGTGGCGGGAGGTCGGGAAAGGTAGGGGTGACGCTCTGGCGCCTGTGCGTGCGAAGTGTGGTGGACCAGAACTGGCGGAAGGACGTGCTAAGCCAACATTCCTGACCGTAAGTCGGGTCGGGCCGCATCGGTACGGAGTCGAAATCGAATTTAATCGGCTGCGCCAAGATCTACAGCAACACCACGCCCACATCGGGACGCAACGGACCGCCGCAACGTATCGGAATGGGACTGGATCGAGCTGGCCAGACTCGATATCGAGTCGGATCGATCGAATCTAAATGAGCCCTGGAGGGAAGGTGTGAGTGCTGGCGCCACTGAGGATTTTGAGAGAAGGGTCGAGCAACCTAAAAACGCGCACGCTATGTGTCGGCCACGGATGATGGCACCCTCGGCAACCGCTGCAACGCTTGGCAGCGCGGGCCCGAGGCTGCTCTTTTGCAAGGCCCACCCTCGCCAGTAGGCTGCGGGTTCCTCGCAGTGTTGCCGCTCCTGCTCCACCTCCTCGCCATCGCACTGCTCCTGCTCTCATCGTCGCGTTCGTCCCTTCTCATGGCCTCGCCCATTCACCTGGCCTGGAGAGGAGGAGGAGGAGGAGGAGGAGGAGGGAGGAGGAGGAGGAGGAGGAGGAGGAGGAGGAGGAGGAGGAGGACGGGGGAGGAGGAGGAGGATGAGGAGGAGGAGGAGCAGGCGGAGGAGGAGGAGGAGAAGGAGGAAGAGGAGGAGGAGGAGCAGGAGGAGGAGGAGGAGCCCGGCGGTCCCGACACCACCGCCGCCCGTCGCGCCGTGGCTTGACCGCCCTCGTCGCGCGAAAGGGTTTCTCCTCCTTCCTCCCTCTTCCTTCCACCCTTCCCTCTTCTCCCCTCTCCTCCTTCTCCTTCCTGGGCTGGCAATGTTTTGTCTCGTATTCCGTCACGTTCTTCAGCACGACGCACCTCCCTCAACTGCCGCGTCGCTGATGCCCTTCTCCCAGAGTTCCCCTTCGGCAGGAGTCAGAGAAGACAACGTGGAATTCAAACACATCTTCCTATTCCTCCTCCCATTTCTACTCATGGGCATTCCTCCTCTGCCACCCTCCGCTGGAGCTTCAGCCTTCCTTCTCTCCCTCCTCTGGCGCACTGCTTCTCCTCCCCTGCTCCTCCTCCTCCTCCCTCCTCCTCCTCCTCCTCCCTCCTCCTCCGCCTCCTCCTCCTTCTCCTCCTCCTACTCCTCCTCGCACTTATCGCACTTGTCGCCGTCATTCCATCGAGTGCGACTCATGGGGCCCTAACGCATCATAACCAAGACTCCGAGGTGTCAAGCCAGCCGTGGCGACAACCGCCTTCCACGCGGGGTATGGAAAGGAGCGCGTCCATCTTCATCCTTCCTCCCTCTGCTGCTCCTCCTCCTGCTCCTCCTCCTCTTCTCGCTGCTCCTCCGCCTCTTCATCCTCGCCCTCCTCCTCGCCCTCCGCTCCTCCTCCTCCTGCTGCTGCTGTTGCTCCTCCTCCTCCTCCTCCCTCTCCTCTCTCTTCCCTCCCCTCCTCCTCCTCCTCCTCCTCCTCCTCCTCCTCCTCCTCCTCCTCCTCCTCCTCCGCGCCCTCCTCCTTCTTCTCCTCCTCCTGCTCCTGTTCCTTCTCCTCCTTCGCCGACCTCGACGACGACGACGAAGACGAACGCAAGCGTCGCCGACGCCCACCGCCGCCGACGACGACGAGGACGCCGCCACCGACGACGCCGCCGCCGCCGCCCATGACGATGACGATGCCGATGACGACGACGATGACGACGACGACCACGACGACGACGACGACCACGACAATGACGACGACGACGGTGACGAGGACGACCCGCTGCCCCGTTGGCGGGCCTCAAACACTGGAGGGACTGGAGGGACTTGGAATCGCCCAGGCTCCACGTCGACGGCCTCGTCTGGGCCTCGGTCCTCATTGGGGGCTCGCTCATGAACTTCGACATCGACAGCGGCTTGAACCTTGGATGATGCCCACCCTCGAGGATAGAGAGAGGGAGGGAAGGAGGACGATGGTGATGATTAGAAGAGGGATAGGAGGGGGAAGGAACAGGAGGAGAGAAGGGGGAAGAGGAGGAGGGAGGAGGAGGAGGAGAAGGAGGAGGAGGAGAGGGAGGAGGAGGAGGAGGAGGAGGAGGAGGAGGAGGAGGAGGAGGAGGAGGAGGAGGAGGAGGAGGAGGAGGAGGAGGAGGAGGAGGAGGAGGAGGAGGGGAGGAGGAGGAGGAGGAGGAGGAGGAGGAGGAGGAGAACGGAGGACGAGGAGGAGGAGGAGGCGGGAGGAGGAGGAGGCGGGGGGAGGAATAGGAGGCGGGGGAGAAATAGGAGGAGAAGGAGGAGGAGGAGGAGGAGGAGGAGGAGGCGGGAGGAGGAGGAGGCGGGGGGAGGAATAGGAGGCGGGGGAGAAATAGGAGGAGAAGGAGGAGGAGGAGGAGGAGGAGTAGGAGTAGGAGGAGGAGGAGGAGGAGGAGGAGGAGGAGGAGGAGGAGGAGGAGGAAGAGGAGGGTATTGAAGCCACTCATGATGCGGGGTGGGTCATCACCCCCTGGCACGTGGCCCAAATTGCAGACTACTCTACCCTACCTCCTCCTCTCACTCACTGGGAGCACGCTCCATGCTTCGCTGGTCACCCTCCCAAGCAACAAGCGTCTCTGGAGCTCAAAGCCGTATCACTTAGCAATATGTAGTTCTGTTGAGCTTGGTCGGCGTGGTATCGGCCAACAACAAACAAGCTAGGCAACGCTGCGCCAATGCGCTGCGCCGGGCGGCACATTGGACACACACACACACACACGAATCGCTAGTCGAAAAGCACACACCCTCTGCAACACGAAGCATTGAAAAATGAGGAGAGGAAAGAGGCGGAGGCCTGGAACCGGCAGTCCCAGAAGACAGTCAATGAGAGCACCGCTGTGCTGCTCGGTTGGCGCCGTCTGGCCATCGCATAGCAATGAAGCCACGGGCGGCACGAGTACGAGTGTGGCTCTCGGAACCTGCTGTCTCGAAGCTTCAAGAGAATAGCTGCCCATGAACAGCCCTACTGCAGGTGCTCACTCCAAGCTGCACCTCGTGCAATGCTTCGTGCTCCATCTGCCTCTCTGGCCCATGATGGTCGTAGCATGCATGTTCCTTCTCCGTACGTGCTCGACTGGACACTCGTGCGCGTGCAAGTGAAGCCGCACAATGGAGCAAACCATATTCCTTTGAATCGTGCCGATCTGCATTTGTCTCAACGCTGCAGGTGGTCATGATGTGTCGCGATGTTGCTTGGTGGGCAACACGGATCGGTCCATGAAGGTGTACCGGAGAGTTACGGGTATTCTGGAAACGACCTTAGAAGCGATATTCCCGAAACATGAAATATGCTTTCCACATTGTTCTGGATGTCCGCTGCCAGCGCGTCTGGGTCGAGCTGTAATCCTGGAGCGTATGACCCAAGGCAAAGAACTCGACACTAAGGGGCCACTTTTCCATATCGCATGGTGCTTCGGTGCTGCCCCCGCGGCACAGGTACAATCTACTGGTGGGCTTGATCTGAAGGTCCCAAATTGAATGCACATGAGCTTCGAAGTCTTCCAAGATTATGATCGCTCCTGAGAGCGACGAGTCTGCGCTGAAAATGTTGTCGACATACGTAGCGACAATTAGACGGTGCCCTCCAGCTTGAAATCCATGTCTCGCCCATACTTGATGTCTGTGGCGTATCGAACTCTCGACTGGCATGCGGCCCATTGCACCGGCAACTCTGGACCCTTTGAGAGATCCTCTTGCGCGCTGTGGGATCGGGATCAACAAGTCCCCAACCCTGAGCCGGACCAGCGGTGGTAATTGCTGCCGGAGAGTAATCGCCGCCAGTGCATGGGACTCCCCGTTGTATATTAGCCAGCGCGCTATCATTAGGTCGGGCATGTCCCCCTACAGGAGGATCTTGGACGAAAAATAAAGCTAAACAAATACTCCCAAATATCAGCCAGCGTTGACTCCAAATAGATAGACGGACAAGAGAAAAACGAGAGAAGGAGAAGACTAGGAGGAGAGGACGGGAGGAGAGGAAGCCAAGCATGAAAGGGCAAACAAAAAGAAGCGAGCAGCCATGCAAGTACGGAGAGCCATAGGAGCAAGCTTGGGCATATAGGCATTGGCATATAGGCATTGGCATAGGCATAGGAAACCATACGACTCATAGGAATCCATAGGGATCCATAGGGCTCGCCATTGGAAATTGCTGGGGGGTGCCATTGGAAATAGGGGGGCATCGGAATTAGGGGGGTCAACAGACCAATTAGTAGGGTTTGAGTTAGAACTCCTATATGGCAAACCTATTTGGAGAAAACTCGTCCCCATGCTATTTTTGGACTTTTTTTGAATGTTTTTCCTGTAGACGGACAGGCCCGACTTAACGCTATCAACAATAACAGAAACGCTGTCTTAACATGTCTCGATGTCTTGCTGTGCTATCGCTCCCTGGCTGTGGCCGTCCAGGGCCTTTCCAGTGACGGAATTTAGCCCATGGGCCATGTCGAACACTTGGGTCCGGGGCCGCGCTCCCACGAAGGTGCCGGCACGGCGGGGGCAGGCGTTCTCTGTGGTAGGGTTCAAAGCGGCCGCGAGGAGACAGTCACACATTTGCAGCGAAGCTGGTAGCGGAAAAGGGACCCTGGTCTGCGACGGCGTTGGCACAGACAACTCTTGGCCAAATAACGTGCCCTGACTCCGGATGCTGGCCATGAGCGGGGGCAGCGCGAGCAGCGCTTCGACACAGGGCGTCGTAGTGGAAGGGCAGGCGGTGAACAAGACGGTGGGGGGCCGACGATGGGCGAATTAGACGGCTGGCAGCTGCCGTCGCAGAGGGGGTCTCCACAGCATCAGCGTTAGGGCTCGCCGCCCCACCGACCCCTCCCCATGAGCTCACGGCCCAGCAGAGGACTCCACACAACCTCGATTTCCTGCGTTGGCTCACAGGGAGGCTCCGCGGTGACTTTGCCCAAGTCGTGTCTTGGGAACAGTTCCCGCCTTGGCCGCGATCTCTGGGCCTCGCATCCGGCGCGAGGAGAGCCCCTGCAGGCGCCCAACAGGCTCTCCTCGCGTCTGCTGGTGTGCCGAGGCCCCGCAGCATTGACAACAACAAATTCCGAAGCCTATCTCCAATGCTGCGCCTGGACCGCAGCCTGCACAGCCGAATGCCTAAAAATCTCCCACGCGACCCCAGAGGCCTGTCGTCGACGTCGTCGTCGTCCTCCTCCTCCTCCTCTTCCTCCTCCTCCTCCTCCTCTTCCTCCTCCTCCTCCTCCTCCTCCTCCTCCTCCTCCTCCTAAGCCATGTGGCCTCGCCCCCCCACCCCCCCCCTCGGCGTAAGAGTGGCCCTGGGCAAGGGTGACCTTTGGTGCGCGAATTTCGGGGGGGGGGGGGGGGGCGAGGGGCCAAGTCCAGGCGCGCAAGCCGCCGCTGCAGCTTCGCGCTCAGCGATGGGGGGCCCCCCATTGGGCCCGCACCAGAGGTCACTCCCGCGAAAGGTCACTCTTACGTCTAGTCGACCTCCTCCTGGCGCAAGTCGTACGAAGTCCATGGGATCTCGTCCTCGAAATCAATGTCAGCTGTGCCAGCTGTGCGGTGCGAGCCAGGCTGCTCGAGGGCTCCGAAGGCTCCTCGGGCACGCCTGCGCAACAAGACACAGTCACGAACAACTATCATCCTCAAACAGACAAGGGCCACTCCTGCGGCATGTGCCAGAGCTGAGCTCCGTGTCGGGCAGACATGCCGGCCACTTCATTACTTGGAATTAACTGGAAATCCTGATCAGGGAGGAGGGGGGAGGGTCCTGATCAGGGAGGAGGGTCCTGATCAGGGAGAAGGGAATTAACTGGAAATCCTGATCAGGGAGGAGGGAGGAGGGTCCTGATCAGGGAGGAGGGTCCTGATCAGGGAAGAGGGAATTAACTGGAAATCCTGATCAGGGGGGAGGGAGGAGGGTCCTGGCATCTCGTTCCAGCCAGTGTGCTGTGGCCATGCAGAGACTCGGGCCTTCTGCCCAATGCCGTCCCGCCAGGTGGTCCAGACGTGACGCGCCGGGGGTTTGAGGAAGTCAGAGCCGCTCCCGAGTCTCGGAGGTGACGGTAGGGGCGAATAGCGCAGGGGCGGGCGTTACACGCATTCGTCCGGGAGCCTCGCCGAAGGCATGGACCATGGGCACCTCTGGATACATCTGTTGCTCCCCCCTGGGCTATTCGCCCCCCTCGTCGCCTCCGAGAGTCCTGCGCACATGCAACTGTACCAGCGCAATCACAGAACACTTCGGGCGGGTCCTCTTCACTCCAACTGGAGTGGCAACTCAACGTGTAGAACACATACTCCTCCCCGTCTCTGGCGACTCGGGAAGAAACAAGCCAAAACGGCACTTCGTCATGCATGGCCGCTTTGAGCTGGCCCTCGCGGTCGACAGCCGCACCGGCCTATCCAACTCTACTTAGCCCAGCATGGGCCGTGTTGAAAGCTCTCCCGTCGAGGAAGACTTCGCCCGATAATTTTTCCAACCAGGAAACGCACTATATAACAAACCTCAGCCAGATTTCCTCGGGCGCTTTGCAACGGCGAGAAGCAAACTCAAGACTGGGGAAGAGACGAAACGAAAACTTACCGAGATATTCACTGAGCCCTCTGTCAGAGCTAGCAGCTTGCTTAACACAGGGGAAGCGGTGAAACAGAACCCCGCGGGCACCGCAGAGAGCACAACGATCATGCAAAGCTTTGCCGTGACTGTGAAGGCGGGCCTGGCGCCAGTGACTGCCTCCCACAAGTGAACGCATGGCTGCGGCCATGCGTGCCGTCCAACCCTCAATGTGCCCTCTGGTAAGCACGCCGGCAACAAGGGCCACGGAGGGAAGGAAGGAAGGAAGGAAGGAAGGAAGGAAGGAAGGAGAGGAACGCGGGGACCGTCTCTTCAAAACGAGGACGCAACACCACAGGATGGCTGGGAAACACTCGGAGGTCCGCGTGGATTGCTCGGACCTGCGCTGGACCCCCCTCCCTGGCGCGCGGAGCGCGCCAATGGCGGCGCCGGAGGTGCCGCCAGGGGGCCCAGCTCCGATCCGAGAAATCCGCGCGGACCTCAGAGGTTTTATGTTTATGTCATTCGTCGCTCCCCTAGATGTGGATGTACACGTCGTGCCTGTCCTGTCAGTGGCTCTGTCGCTGCCTGGAACCGTCTGCCTGCCTGAGGGCCTGCCTCTGCTCCTCCTCCTCCTCCTCCCTCCTCCTCCTCCCTCCTCCTCCTCCCTCCTCCTCTTCGTCCTCCTCCACCTCCTCCTCCTGCCTGTCTTTTCAGTGTCTCTGTCGCTGCCTGGATCCGTCTGCCTGCCCGAGGGCCTGCCTCTGCCTCAACGCTGCTATCTGCTTGGATCTCAGCGCGAGGCCGCTGCGGCTTCTCGGTGCGCATCGTCAGGCCTGGGCCGTCCACGGAGGTCAGCCTCACAGGCTTCCTGCGCTGGCCAAGGCAAAGACAAAAGGAGGAGGAGAAGGAGGAGGAGAAGGAGGAGGAGAAGGAGGGAAGGAGGAGGAGGAGGAGGAGGAGGAGGAGGAGGAGGAGGAGGAGGAGGAGGAGGAGGAGGAGTAGTAGTAGTAGTAGTAGGTTAGTAAGTAGTCGTAGTAGTAGTAGTAGTAGTAGTAGTAGTAGTAGTAGTAGTAGTTAAGAATAGTAGTAATAATAATAGTAGTAGTAGTTTAGTAGTAGTAGTAGTAGTACTAGTAGTAGTAGTTAGTAGTAGTAGTAGTAGTAGAGTTAGTAGTAGTAGTAGTAGTAGTAGTAGTAGTAGTAGTAGTAGTCGTAGTAGTCGTAGTAGTAGTAGTAGTAGTAGTAGTAGTAGTAATTACACTACTACTACTACTAGTACTCGTAGTAGTAGGTGTTGGTATGGTAGTAGCAGTCGTAGTAGTAGTAGTAGTAGTAGTAATAGTAGTAGTAGTAGAAGTAGTGTAGTAGTAGTAGTAGTGTAGTAGTAGTTTAGCGGTGGTAGTAGTAGTAGTAGTAGTAGTACGAGTGGTCGTCGTCGTAGTAGTAGTAGTAGTAGTAGTCGTAGAACTACTACTACTAGTACTCGTAGTAGGTGTGGTGATGGTAGTACTAGTAGTAGTAGTAGTACTAAGTGGTCGTCGTCGTAGTAGTAGTAGTAGTAGAGTAGGAGTAGAGTAGTAGTAGTAGTAGGAGTAGTAGTAGTAGTAGTACTGGGAGTAGTAGTAGTTAGTAGTTTCCCCAAGTAAGTAGTCAGTAGTAATAGTATTATAGTAGTAATTAGTAGTCGTAGTAGTAGTAGTAATAGTAGTGGTAGTAGTAGTAGTAGTAGTAGTAATAGTAGTAGTAGTAGTAGTAGTAGTACGAGTGGGCGTCGTAGTAATAGTAGTAGTAGTAGTAGTAGTAGTAGTAGTAGTCGTAGTAGTCGTA